TTGTGAAGACGAAGACCCTCGTGGCGTGTCAGTCGTTGAGACGACGCTATTTATATTTTCTTGTTTCGAATTTTTTCCGGATTTTTCTTGGTTTATTTGCTGCGAAACGATGCTTGGGTGATTGCCGGACTCCGGTTTTGGCTTGTTACTTGAGTCCGGCTGTAACGAGGTGGTCATCACCTGTGCCTTGAGATTCGGCGAAGATGCCTTCTGTAATTCTTCCATTATTTCTCCTTCTTCCAAAATCTGATTTTCTCCTTCATTATTTTTTGTGTTGCTTTTTGTGAGAAAGGCCGAGAGAGCCTCTCGTATTTGCGGTTGTGAGATGAAAAGTTCCAACTCCGAGGCTTGAATTTGGGTTGGAGCTTGTCTGTTCGCCGGGAGGTTGGCCGGCGTGGCCATGACTAACCGGAATTTGAGGATAGAGGACCGAAACTATTTAAGAAAAGATTGAGGGATAGGTAAAAATAAATACAAAAGGAATTATTTTGGTGTATTGTGGTTTCTGCGAAAAACTTAACTGGCCGAGAGCCGGCCGGCGCCGGCGCCGGCTTGTCGGAAAAACAATAAACTGGACAGAAAAATGGATTCTTGAAAAAACAGGTTGAAAATGGGAAACGAAAATCTAGAGAGAGAAAGCTAGAGAGAGGTGAGAGCATTTGCTAGGTTAGTTGCTAGGTTAGTTTATAAATGTTGCTAGTTTAGTTGTCTATTGTTGCTAGGTTAGTTTTCTGATGCTGCTAGGTTATTTATCTTTTGCTGCTATGTTAGTTGTTTATTGTTGCTAGGTTAGTTGTCTTACTTTTCTAGAGTAGTTGTCCGATGTTTGCTAGGTTAGTTGTCTGACATTGCTAGGTTAGTTTTTTTGTTGTTGATAGGTTAGTTCTATCTTGTTGCTAGGTTAGTTCTCTGGTGCTGCTATGTTAGATATATCTAGTTGCTAGGGTAGAATAACAAACACTTATAACAAAAAGACCAAAAGATGGTCAAAAGACATTAAATAATAACTAATAATGCATCAAAAAAGTTTTATAGAAAAACACTTCCATCAGTTTATCGTACTAAATTGTCGAGCAAAATACATCAGATCAAATAAATTGTCGAGCAAAACACAAACATTTCTCTGATGTGTTGGAAATGTTTGTGTTTTGCTCGACAATTTATTTGATCTGATGTATTTTGCTCGACAATTTAGTACGATAAACTGATGGAAGTGTTTTTCTATAAAACTTTTTTGATGCATTATTAGCTATTATTTAATGTCTTTTGACCATCTTTTGGTCTTTTTGTTATAAGTGTTTGTTATTCTACCCTAGCAACTAGATATATCTAACATAGCAGCACCAGAGAACTAACCTAGCAACAAGATAGAACTAACCTATCAACCACAAAAAAACTAACCTAGCAATGTCAGACAACTAACCTAGCAAACATCGGACAACTACTCTAGAAAAGTAAGACAACTAACCTAGCAACAATAAACAACTAACATAGCAGCAAAAGATAAATAACCTAGCAGCATCAGAAAACTAACCTAGCAACAATAGACAACTAAACTAGCAACATTTATAAACTAACCTAGCAACTAACCTAGCAAATGCTCTCACCTCTCTCTAGCTTTCTCTCTCTAGATTTTCGTTTCCCATTTTCAACCTGTTTTTTCAAGAATCCATTTTTCTGTCCAGTTTATTGTTTTTCCGACAAGCCGGCGCCGGCGCCGGCCGGCTCTCGGCCAGTTAAGTTTTTCGCAGAAACCACAATACACCAAAATAATTCCTTTTGTATTTATTTTTACCTATCCCTCAATCTTTTCTTAAATAGTTTCGGTCCTCTATCCTCAAATTCCGGTTAGTCATGGCCACGCCGGCCAACCTCCCGGCGAACAGACAAGCTCCAACCCAAATTCAAGCCTCGGAGTTGGAACTTTTCATCTCACAACCGCAAATACGAGAGGCTCTCTCGGCCTTTCTCACAAAAAGCAACACAAAAAATAATGAAGGAGAAAATCAGATTTTGGAAGAAGGAGAAATAATGGAAGAATTACAGAAGGCATCTTCGCCGGATCTCAAGGCACAGGTGATGACCACCTCGTTACAGTCGGATTCAAGTAACAAGCCAAAACCGGAGTCCGGTAATCACCCAAGCATCGTTTCGCAGCAAATAAACCAAGAAAAATCCGGAAAAAATTCGAAACAAGAAAATATAAATAGCGTCGTCTCAACGACTGACACGCCACGAGGGTCTTCGTCTTCACAAATCGGAATCGGAATAGGCCGGACGGATTTGTCCTTGGGACTGAACTCTGAAAATCGGGGCCTAAATAGCGGGCGTGCTGAACAACCTACCGACTCAATTATCACTGTTTCGGGTCGACCGAAGCACATGGACCCGCGGCTCGTTCTCGGGTTACGCCCCTCAATGGAAGATTACAGCAGCTCCGCACCTCGCACCGTCCTTAGCAACCCACCGTCGCCTCACCGGCTCGCGGAGGTCACAGGCCAGGGCCAGCCGGTTCAATTTGGCTCCCTTCCTGCGGAGATCCGTCAAGAACCTTCAGTACCGATCGGAAATCTCCTTAATGCTCAATCCTGTTTGGACGAGGGCGGCGAACTCCTTAAGATAAACCCTCAGCTGCATATGGACCTTTCTTTACGGGCCAACTCCCTTGCTAATGATGGGCTGCGGTTACCTAGGCCCAACTCAACTCCAAATCTTCACCAACTGGGCCCATCCCATTCTCAGCCCACATCATATAACCTCATCAACCCATCTAATGACAAACCTACAAATAACAGCCCACCTAATGCCATCCCATCTAATGATAACCCCCAGCCCACCATCTCTAAATCCAATCCCTACCCACTCACTTCCCAAGCCCAGTTCGTATCCTCACAGCTTCCCCTCCAAACCGCCCCCTGCCATCAATTCACCACCCCTGACATGAACCAAACAATGGCCACCGCCCACCCCTTTTCCGGCGACGGCGCCTCTGCCGGCGATATGACCGGAATATTCCAGTCCACCGGAAATCAAGCGGGGCCGGTCTTGGAAGGCAGCCTTTCGAAGGGTATCCTCGGACCTCGACCCATTTCACCTCCTCCCTTCTCTCAACTTACTCCACAGGCGGCCCAACCCCAAAAAGGCCCTTCCCTGACATCATCGAAGGGCAACCCAATGCCCTCTACGGCCAATCCCGCCATAACCGAGCCTCAACTGGGCACCTCCACGGGCCCACTCTCCTTCCGCGACGCTATCACGGGGAAGAAATATGGCGGTTCGAGCACCCCGAGGCCAACACCGAAAGATTTCCCATTTGACGGGAACTACGAACAGGCCTGCGGTACCATCATCCGCTCGGAGAATAACAAAGTGAAGGCCCGTTTCACCGACGCCGATTCTGGAGACCTGGCAGGTAAACTTGATAACACCCTGGTATTTAAGTTCTCATATGCTATCCCCGCCCCTCGAGATATATCTGCTGGATTAAGAAAATTGGGTTTTAAGGGTAGTGTTTCATCGAAGTGGTTTAACTTTAACCACATGTTAGTGTCTTTCCACCTCACTGAGGATTATAATGAGGTCTGGCTCAAGACCTTGATTCATTTGTGTGGATGCCCAGCTAGGGTGTTCAAATACTATGTCGGGTTTAACCCGAAGACGGAGGCACCAATTGTACCCGTCTGGTGCCGTCTTCCCGGCCTCCCACCCCACCTCTACGACCGCGCTGCCATCACTACACTTGCTAAGTGTATTGGGCAGCCGATTCGTATCGATGCCCACACGGCCCTTCAGACGAGGGCTAACGTGGCACGATTCTGTGTTGAGATAGATCTCAGAGCGGAGCTCGTTCATGAGATCGAAATTGAGCAGGGCTCAGAGTCCTTCCTTCAGCGGGTGATATACGAAAAGATCCCCGCGTTCTGCACATTGTGCAGCCATGTGGGTCACATTGCGGCCGATTGCTACATTAGTGGCAATAAGCCACGACCCACGCTTCCGCAGCGCCATCGCGCTGCTCAGCCAGGGCCCTTCACCGGCAGAAGGGACCCCAAGGGAAAGGGCAAAAGCCCTATCCGTACGCCCGAGACCCTAAAGGGGTCTAAGGACAAGGGCAAAGCTGTGTCTGACGCCACTGCCCAAACTGGAAAGGACGCTCATCCTAACCAGCCTAAGCAGTCGGCCATAGTGGGGCCAAAGCCCAAGTCCACGGGCTTTCTCCCTAGACAGACCATCCAGACGGCCTTCAAGGCCAATCACTCGTACTTTGCCATTCTATCCCCTCAGGCAGAGGATGAGGACGTTCCGTCCACTAGTCACCATCCTAGGATTTCTGACCTTGCGCTCCTTGACGACGATGATCTTCTGGTCGACGATATGGACCAGCCGGAGGCCTCGACCAGGGGTGAGTCCATCCATTTGTCCGATGACAGTGCACGCGACGCTGACCCTCAGACCGTGCGTGCATCCAGTCCGGACCGCGGCCCTCTAGATTTGAGGGCTAGTGCCTCCACCGCTCCCCCGAAAGGGGATGAGTCGGTCCCTCCTCTCTCTCCGGAGATTAGGAGCACGGCTGAGCATATAGCCAGCCCCCACCCTCCTTCGGGAGGCGAGCACATGATTGCCCCGTCGGCTGGACTCCCTCTTTCTCCCATCCCCGAGCAGACATGCGGTCTTAACCGCGCTCAGCATGACGTCTCCTGCGAGAGCTTCGCGTCTAGTGCCTTTGTGCACCATGACAGATAGGAGACAGCCCCGGATATGGGGCAACCCGCTAGTGTTGCTCTTGGTCAGATTGCCCAGGCAGACGACACACAGGCCACGAGCGTCATCCGAGGCAGACAGTATGCGAGGACCAGAGCCTCGCAGCGTACGCTGCGGCGGACTGCCTCCCCTGCTATTGGATCATTTCGACGTCGCCCTGCTTTACGCAGCGCGACTCAGCCTCGCCACAGGCGGACTATGTCCAGTGGCTCTCGCGACAGTTGATATGTCAGTCACGTCCATTACTTGGAATGGCCGTGGCCTGGCGAACAGGGCTACCCTCTCTCACCTCCATTCTCTGATTCGTGACCACAGACTCGATTTTTTTGGCTTCATTGAGCCAATGATTCGCAACCCTTCGCTTGACTTCTACTCGCGTCGCCTTGGTTTTCCCTCGGGCGTCGGTAATATGTCGCATAAGATCTTCTTCTTTCACTCGCGTGACTACACTTGTCGGGTCCTCCGTGACACCGATCAGGTGCTTCACGTTGAGCTCTCCGCTGCCCACCTCCCGGAGCCCATCTATCACACCTTGGTTTATGCCAAGTGTACTAGGGTCGGGCGTTATGATCTTTGGGACACCCTGCGTGAGATTGCCGAGAGTATGGAGGGATTGCCATGGATGGTTAGTGGCGATTTCAACATCTTTCTGCACCCCGATGAGCGCGTGGGTGGCCGCACGGACAGATCCCGAGAGATGTGGGATTTTGCGCAGACTGTGGCGGACTGTGAGTTGCTTGATGCTGGATGCGAGGGTGAGCCCTTCACGTGGGTTAGGGACGACCTCAAGGAGAGGCTCGACCGTGCTTTGATTTCTGAAGCGTGGTCGAAGGTGTTTGCGGTCACGACCGTCACGCACCTCACTCGATTTGGGTCTGACCATTCACCCCTCCTCATTAGATGTCGTTTTTCGAGCACTCCTCGCCGCGCTTCCTTTAGGTTCCAAAACATGTGGGTTCGCCACCACTCCTTCCACGACACTGTCAGGGATTCCTGGCTTCAGCCGACTGGGCTCTTCGGGATGCGCAATCTCGAGGCGAAGCTCGGCAGACTGCGGCGTCGGTTGAGACAGTGGAACTGGGATGTTTTTGGAAACCTTCATCACCGCCTTACTGCAGCTCAGAGTGCGCATGCGTCGGCTGAGCGGGCCTATGACCTGGATCCCACTCCGGAGAATAGGACCGCCATGCACCGCTGCCACGCCGAGTACCAGCTCCGACTCCTTATGGAGGAGGACTTCTGGAAGCAGAAGGCGGCCGTTCGCTGGGTGGCCGAGGGCGAACGGAACACTAGGTTCTTCCAGGGCTACGTTAGGCAGAAGCGTGCTAAGTCGTACATCCATAGTATCGAGGCTGATGGGTCATCCTTGACCCAGGAGGCTCAGATTCGGGAGTCGGCTGTTGCTCACTTCCAGACCCTCTTCACCTCTGACAGAGGGTCCCTCGTGGCCCCGAACGCTTCTTTTTTCCCCACCATCCCTCCTTCGGTCGATCTCATTGGCCTCTGTGAGCTCCCGAGCAGGGAGGAGGTTAGGGATGCTGTATTCGGGATTGATCCCAACAGCGTTTCTGGCCCGGATGGTTTCTCCTCCCTCTTCTATCAGGTCTGCTGGGATATTGTCGAGACTGACGTCCAGGAGGCGATGTTGGATTTTTTCTCCGGCCACCGGATGCCGGATTCCTTCACGTCTACCTCTGTCGTCTTGATCCCCAAACGACCCAACCCGAGCTCTTGGTCCGATTACAGGCCCATCAGCCTGTGTAACGTGACCAACAAGCTCATTTCGAAGATTCTTAACGGCCGTCTTTCCCCTCTTCTCCCCTCTCTCATCTCTCCGAACCAGAGTGGATTCGTCAAGGATCGGGTCATTAGTGATAACATCCTTCTGGCCCAGGAGATGATCCACGACATCTCCCGAGCGGACTGGAAGCGGGCTCCGAATATCGCGCTGAAGCTGGACATGGCTAAGGCGTATGATAGGGTTGAGTGGCCGTTTCTTAGGGAGGCGTTGGCTAGGATGGGATTCCCTGAGCGTTGGATCAGCTTTGTGGAGGCGTGTGTGGAGCATTGCACGTTCTCGGTCCTGATTAATGGCAGCCCCACCGATTTCTTTCCCTCCTCTAGAGGCCTTAGACAGGGCGACCCTCTTTCCCCTTCCCTCTTCGTTCTTGCGGCGGACTACCTCTCTCGCTGCCTTGACGGCTTCATCCGCGACTCTCCCCACATGACCTATAGCACCTGTGGCTATGGTCCTACCGTCTCTCACCTTTCTTACGCGGATGACATCATTATCTTCACCCGGGCGGATGATGATGGACTGGTCGAGCTCATGCGCCTTTTGGAGCACTATGGCTTGGTCACCGGTCAGCTGGTCAGCGTGCAGAAGAGCACCTTCATCCTTTCATCTGCCACAGTGGACAGGTGGGCTCAGCGGGTCCACGACATTACTGGCTTTGCGCGTGGCGACCTTCCCATTACCTACCTCGGGGTCCCTTTATATAAGGGCAACCTCACGAGAGCGCTCTTTGCGGGCGTCAGACAGAGGATGATCGACAGGATCTCTGGTTGGTCGCATAGATATCTTTCTTTCGGTGGTCGGCTAGCGCTGATCAAGAGCACTCTTAGCTCTCTTCCGATTCACTTGCTTATGGTCCTCGACCCCCCTAGGTCTACTCTTGACGAGCTTGACCAGATTATGGCTCGTTATTTCTGGGGTTATGAGGACGGGTCTGGGAGGGGGAGACGTACTCACTGGGTGAGTTGGGACTCTATCTGCCGCCCCCTCCCAGAGGGTGGCCTTGGCATCCGCCGCCTTAGGGACATTGTTACAGCTTTCTCATACAAGCTGTGGTGGCGCTTCAGGGAAGGAAAGTCGCTTTGGGCTCAGTACCTTCGCGGCAAGTACTGCCCTAGACGTGCCAAC